CTAAAAATAATCTGTTTTAAATAAATATCATAGAATATAAAAATAAATAAATATATAATTTAAATTTCAAATATATTAAAAATAATATAATAAATACGCCATTAATCATGATGTAACACTTCCCCCTCTCCAGAGGTCGTCACGTCCTCGTGAGTTACCTCATCACTTCTCTCAAAATAGGGTTTGAGTCTTGAGACATGGACAATCAATGGGTCTTGGCCAGGATTATCTTTCGGCTCAATTAAGTAATTTACGTTAGACAGCTTCTTTAATATTCGATATGGGCCAAAATATTTTCTCAATAGTTTTTCGCATTTTCCGATTTTCCTGACTGGTGTCCAAACTGCCACTAAATGTCCTGGTTCATAGATTTTCTCATTGTGTTTTTTGTCATAGTTTCTTTTCATTCTTTCCTGAGTCTTCTCTGTGTTGTTAATGACTACCTGTCTCGTCCTTGCTATTTTATCTAAGTAGTTTTCTATATATTCGTCGTAATCGTCCATGTTACTGTCCGTTGGGATATTCTCGTCGTCTAAGAGGGACATGGGTTCCCTTCCAAACAACAGGAAAAATGGAGAGTAGCCTGTGGTTTCTTGAATCGTGGTATTATACGCGTGGGTGATAAAAGGGAGGATTTCATCCCAGTTCTTTTGGTCTGTGTTCACATACATGCTGATCATATTGATTAAAGTTCTATTTAGCCGTTCCGTTAGTCCGTTAGTCTGGGGGTGGTAGCTCGTTGTGAAGCAGTGTTCCACTTTGCACATTTTCATTACCTCCTTCATCAAATTGCTAGTGAATTGTGAACCTCTATCGCTAATAAGAAATCTTGGGGCCCCGTGACGTAAAATAATATGTTCGATTAAAAATGTAGAGACTTCTTTCACGGTTGCTTCTGATACTGCCTTTGTTTCAGCATACTTGGTATAATAATCAGTCAACACAATTATCCACTTCCTTCTTCTTTTCGTTGATGGCAAGGGGCCAACAAAGTCAATTCCGATTCTTTCAAAAGGGTAGTTAGCTGGGGGAATAGGTTGTAGAAGTCCAGAAGGCAAGTGATTTGAACCTTTCCGACTTTGGCAAAGATGGCACGTCTTTACAAATTCTGAAACATCTTTCAACATGGAAGGCCAATAGTATTTATTCTTCAATCGGTAAGTGGTTCTGGCGACGCCCAGATGGCCATTCAGCATATGGTTGTGGTATTCACTCATGACTTCCTTCCTTCTCTTCTTTGGCACTACCAGCAACCATGCCCTACCTTCAGGATTTGGATTTTTCTTGTAGAGACACCCATTTTCTTCTTTGAAGTTCTGTGTAATTGAACGCTTGTTTCCACTAAGGTTCTCCTTAATATTCTCAATAAAATCATCCTTTTCGTCTATTATTTGATTCAGAAATAGTCTTTCATAATCTTCATCCCATTCGTTTTCAGGTAAGGGTCCTCTAGATAGACCATCCGCGTCCAGATGTTTTTTACCCGATTTATGTATGATTTCGAAATTATATTCCTGAATCTTCAGTGCCCATCGTGCTAATCGGCCGGTCGGATCTTTCAGATTCTTAAGCCAGCATAGTGCGTGATGATCAGTTACGATTTTGAAGTGCCTTCCATATAGGTAGGGTCGTAACTTGGACATTGACCACACAACAGCTAGACATTCTTTTTCGGTAGTCGAATAATTTTGCTCAGGTTTGCTCAGTGTTCGACTTAAATATGAGATAACTTTTTCTTTATCGCCGAACTTTTGGACTAATGTTGCACCCAGGCCGATGTTAGATGCGTCAGTATGAATGTAAGTAATTGCATTCGGGTCAAAGTGCCCTAAGATTGGAGGATTTATCAATGCTACTTTAAGGGTTTGAAATGCTTTCTCTTGATTTTCTGTCCAGGTAAAAGGTACATTCTTTTTTATAAGACTGGTTAATGGATCGGCAATTTTTGAAAAACCTTTGATAAATTTTCTATAATATGAGCACATTCCTAAAAATGATTGAACTTCTTTTATCTTTTTGGGCCGAGGAAAATCTCTAATAGCCTTGAGATGGTTTTATACCATGTTGATTAGTTATATGGCCAAGAATCTCCAGTTCTTCGAAAGCAAATTGGCATTTTTTGTTGTTCAATTTTAAATTAGCCTCGCGAAAACATTTTAAAACAGCTTCTATTCTTTTGAGATGTGTTGAAAAATCCGAGCTATAAATGATTACGTCATCTAGATAACATAAGCAAATTTGCCATCTAAGATTACCAAGCATATTTTCCATGTTCCTCTCAAATGTAGCAGGGGCATTGCATAGACCAAAGGGCATTACGTTGAACTCATATAGGCCATGTGCTGTAGTGAAGGCTGTCTTTTCTTTATCTTTCTCCTCAACCTCTACTTGCCAATATCCTGATTTAAGGTCAATTGCTGAAAAGTATTTGGATCCTTGAAGTGTATCCAATACTTCATCAATTCTGGGAATTGGGTAAACATCCTTCACTGTTACATCATTCAATTTTCTGTAGTCAACGCAAAATCTGTACTTACCATCTCGCTTCTTGACCAAGATTACAGGGAAGGACCATGGACTCGAGGATGGTCTAATTATGCCGTCTCTGAGCATTTCATCAATTTGTTCTTTTATGATTTCTCGCTCTTTCGCGCTCACCCTATACGGCTTGTGTTTGATCGGTTTCGCGCCTTCTGTATCGATCCGATGTTTCGCTAAGTTGGATCTTCCTAATCCCGACGAAAACAAATCCTCGTACCTTTCCAAAACTTGTTTCAATTGCTCCTTTTCCGTATATGCTAAATTTTCGTTTATCTGAAATTGGGGTTCTTCATGCTCTTTTTGTTCACTTTCTTCTATAAGATTCACTTCGGCTGGCTGGCTGGCTTCCAAAGCACAATGTTTGGTTTTTTAATATTTTTAATGGTCGAGGGTAAGGGTTTGTTATCCAGATATATGTTTCCTTATTCACAACATTTATTAAGCTTCTCGCTAGTCGAAGTCCATTTGTTTGAAACATTTTATGGTTCTCCTCGATGATGTATTCGCCATCCTCTGCTTCTACAAATGCATTAATCAATTTAATAGAAAGTTCTGGTATAATGGCATCCTTTGCACTTTTTATTTTCTTCTGTTGATATTTGATTACGTCACGATTTTCTGTCAAGTCATATTTGATTATTTCACGCTGACAATCAATTTTTGCGTTCATTTTCTTAAGAAAATCACGTCCAAGTATAAATATTCGCAAATGTGTTCTCATTATCACAAATTGATGTGTAATTGTTTTGTCATCAAATTTTATATTTAAAATAATATTTCCTACGATATCTAATTCTTTGCCATCGGGTCCGGAGCACATTTTATCAGGATTTATTATTTCAAGACCTGTGTTAAGAGCTGTACTAAGGTCGACCACTGAAAGATCGACGCCTGTATCAATCAAAGCTTCGCAGATACCGATTCTATCCACGTTAATGTTCATTTTATATTTGGGGTCTAACTTTTTAATTCCATTTATGGTCGACTTGCTTTGATTGACGGACTCAGGCGCGATGTTTAGTTTAAATCTTCTAATGCCGCATATCTATTCCTTGTAGGGATACTCGAGTACGGGCTATTACTTACGTCAGAGTAGAGCAGAGGGCTCGACTTCTGAGTTCCATTATCCATTCGGATTTCTTCTTCGACCTTGTCTTGTGTAACTATGGGGTCCTCTTCCACAATTCTTACAAACCTGACTCTGCAATACCGCGCTACGTGTCCTGGCTTGTTACACTTGAAACATATTGGTCTCCCGTCTTCTGTCCTATTCCTATTTGAATTTGGATTCTTATTGTATGTTTTACTTGGGTAGACCGGTTTTGGCTCAGGATTGGGAGTGTAAGATCGTCTAGGGGCAGATACCTGGGGCAGAGGCTTGTTCTGGTAATACCTCGGAGCGGGGGCCTGGGGCTTGGAGGTGTTCTGATATGGTCTTCTGAACGACGTAGCATTCTTCCATTGCTCTTGATGATGGGGACGAGGAGAGCGTGGTCCATTATAAAGAGCTTTTGATTTTTCTGCACGTTCTTGGTAATTCTTTTCGAACAAATCCAGCTTTTTACAAATTTCTAGAAGTTCATTGGTATTTTTAGGAGGGTTTAGGTGAAGGGCAAAAGAGTATTCTTTCTTTAACCCTCCAATAACCCAGTTTATTTTAGTCTCTTCTTCCATTTGGGGGTCGACCTTGTTGCACAGTACAAGGATATCCTCTGCGAACCTGATTGCAGGTTCATTCCACTGTTGTATCCTGTTTAATCTCATCCTCATTTCTTCTTTGTTGGCGTCTGAGGCAAAATCCTCAATTAGGCGGCTCTTGAAATTTTCCCAGCTGGTGAAACTTACTTTGTGTAGGTTCAGCCAGGTTTTGGCGCTACCAATCATATTCATGGCAGCATAACGGGAGATAATGTAGTCTGCCCAATGGTACAGGAAGCCAATTTCTTCAAGAGATTCAATCCATGGGCGAGGGTCTTCTGTTCCATCATACTTGGGGATGTCGATGTTGGGATTCAGGACAACTGGGTCGGAACTAGCATCTCTACCAATTGTTGCACCAGGTTGCGGCTTGGCAGACTCTTCAGCCTTGATTCTCTCCTGTGCTGGGTCTTGCATCTTACCAGAGCGTGTTTCAACCATCCTACAAATTTATAAAAGGGAATAATGAGATAAGTCTACTTTATGTAGCCACCAGAATCACTTTATTTATTTTCTCACATCAAAGAGAGCAGTGAAGTCACAGTGTACCTAAATACAAATGATGATAATCTAAAAATAATCTGTTTTAAATAAATATCATAGAATATAAAAATAAATAAATATATAATTTAAATTTCAAATATATTAAAATAATATAATAAATACGCCATTAATCATGATGTAACAATATATTATAACAAGGCCAGTATAAACTGAAGTATGAATTGTGAAGAGGAATGATGAACGGAAAAATAAAAGTATCCAGTGGACATAGCCTACTGGACATGGCATCTGCCCAGTAAGCGGAACACTGTGGGTTCGATTCCCATCCCTGGACACTTTTATTTTTCCGTTCATCATTACTCTTCACAATTAATCCTTTCATACTTCATCCCTAAGGATAGAAATAGTCGTTATTTCTCCTTAAATTACGATTTTTCGTTCAAAAGAAACATTTGCGCTAAAACTTGGCAAAAGTCGTTTTACTCTTATCTCTCTAACTCTATGTTACCGTTGACTTGTAGGATGTCACAATACAATATTTAAAAAATCTTAAATCTCTCTCTAACTCTCGTTCAAAGAAGGAATCTCCATGTTCTTTCTTGAGAAGAAGAGAATCTCTCTCTCTGTGTGTGAAAAGGGATGTGTGAAAAAGTGGAAATAACAAGCGTGGCGAAGGCTACCATCTACAAGTACCATCTTGGTCTTGAGGTGGGCAACGCCAGCCAACACCTAGACCTGTCCACTTTGTGGGAAAGAACTCTCGCAGTACACAGTCTACCCGCGGTGGGCGCTACCAATGAAGACCTTGTATATATTTTTTATATATGTATATTTATCAATTATTTTTATCTATTTATTCATATTTTTATCATTATATAATCATATTTATTCATATTCATATTTATTCTGTATTTAATCTTATATAATCTTATATGGACTTTGAAATAAAGTAGTTCAATATCAAACTCTCTCTCTTTCATGGAAGATCTCCTCATTGTACGAGGTGTGTTCAAAAAGTATCGCGACCTTTGAATTTTCGCGGGTTACGTATATTCGAATTTCGATCTTTTTGTGGCTTTATGTTGGTACTCATGTCTCTCACTTATGCCGACAAGCTCGGACATTTTGAATGTTCACTTAATTGTTGACAGCTGCTTTGCTTGCAGGTGTTTTGGATCGTCTTCGATTTTTACATATTAAAAAAAATGGATCAAAGAACCTGTATCAAATTTTGTGTGAAAAACGAAATTAAGTGCGCGGATGCATTCCGAATGTTGACTGTGGCATACGGAGAAGCTACCTTGGACCAAAACAACGTTTATCGGTGGTACAAAATGTTCTCAGAAGGCCGAGAAGATGTGAACGACGAAGAGCGTGCCGGACGCCCGAGCACTTCAACAACAGACGAAAAAATTAATGAAGTGGAGAAAATGATATTGGCCAATCGTCGAATCACCGTTAGAGAAGTTGCTGAGGACCTAAACATATCGATTGGCTCGTGCCATTCGATTTTTATCAATGATTTGGGCATGAGACGGGTCGCCGCGAAATTCGTACAAAAATTGCTCAATTGCGACCAAAAACAGCATCGCATGAACATTGCTAATGAGATGTTGGACTCTGTCCGCGACGACCCAAATTTGCTCGAGAGGGTCATAACTGGTGACGAAGCGTGGGTTTATGGTTATGACGTGGAAACCAAAGCTCAATCATCTCAATGGAAGCTGCCGCGCGAACCAAGACCGAAAAAAGCGCGCCAAGTTCGGTCGAATGTGAAAGTTTTGCTGACAGTTTTCTTCGATTGCAGGGGCGTGGTGCATCATGAGTTCTTGCCACAGGGTAGAACGGTCAATAAGGAATATTACCTGCAAGTTATGCGCAATTTGCGCGAAGCAATCCGCCAGAAACGCCCGGATTTGTGGAAGAACAAAAATTGGCTTTTGCACCACGATAACGCCCCTGCTCACACATCGTTGCTTGTGCGCGACTTTTTGGCCAAAAACAACACACTAATGATGCCGCAGCCACCGTATTCCCCAGATCTGGCCCCCTGTGACTTTTTCTTGTTCCCTAAACTGAAGAGGCCCATGAAAGGACGACGTTACGCTACGCTTGACGAGATAAAGACGGCATCGAAGGAGGAGCTGAAAAAGATTTTGAAAAATGATTTTTTGAAGTGCTTCGAAGATTGGAAAAACCGTTGGCACAAGTGTATAATATATCATGGGGATTACTTTGAAGGGGACAAAATAGGTATTCATGAATAAATAAATAATTTTTGAAAAAACACAAAAGTCGCGATACTTTTTGAACACACCTCGTATGGCAAAGAGCTCTTCGACGTTGGGCGAGTATCTCCTTCTAAATATTTATATTTTCTTCATTTTTGTATATTTTCACCTTTTTCGGAACATTTTTTGTGGTTGACTTTTTAAAAAAATTTTATTTCAATTTAAAGCGCTATGTCCCCTTAGGGACACTTGTCATGTGAATAGTCATATGATGTTAACAATGAGAAAGAGAGAGAGGAAAAAGGAACTTTGTTGTTGTTTGTTTTACCACTGTCAATGTGTAAGCCAATAAAGTTGTTTCTCAAACTCTCAAATCAGAGAGATTCGCTGAAGTCAACCAACTTGTTTGTTGTTTCCAGATTCTTCTTCCTCCTTTTCTTTCTTTCTTTTTTTTTTTTTTTTTTCCTGATGCCATTTCTACCTCACAATTTGGATTCACATCTTCAGGTAAGTGTTTTTGTTTTTAATCTTCTTCACACATCCACACACAGTAATTTTTAAATTTCAAAAATCGTCAAGCGACATCATTTTTTTTAAACAAATATTTCAATATTTAGGTTTTTTACGCTTATATTATCTCTCTACAGAACACTTGTTCTGCAATGATAGACAATAATTACATTCTTGGACAAAACTTGAAGAAGTGGAAAGTTCTTTCATGTCACCGGTAATCTGTTTTTTTTTTTTGAAAGAGGCAGAGGTAATTTTGTTTACACTTGGTTATCTCGTGTGTCTTCAATAAAGGTCACTGTAATATCTTTCAGAGTTATTGTCAGAATTCCGATATACATGGTAAAAAGTACAACTTCCTTAAGTTTTGTCCATGAGTGTAAATGAGAGGGCTTTGCTCATCAGTGGTGTGAGCCTTCTCAGCAAGTTATCAGCCAAATAATTCCCCAGATCTCGCTCTACTCTACGCTCTACTTCTTATATACAAACCATGTGTATTATTTACTAAAGAAGACTGGATTGTCTAGAAAACCTACATAGCTTACACACAGTAATATAATGGCTTGTAAGGGCAGTAGAAAATTTCGTTGCACTAAAAAAAAAAAAGATACATTCGCGTCATGAATAGTTTCCATTTTTTATAAGCACACAAGGATAACTTAGATTTTTGTGGAAGAAACTTCTCTCCACGTGCCTATAGACAATTGACATAATTTTATTGACATCTTGTCAATACATGCAAAAGTGTACAGTCTGCAATATTTTAAAAAGATAATTATATATATGCATAACACAATGTATACAATGAATATGGTGCCTCTGCCACCGCTGCAGAGTTTGATGGAGAATCGCCAGCTGGTCTCCAGTGACACCACGTATTTCGCGATCTACGAAGAAAACATAGATCACGTACTTCGCCGCTGAAGAGATGGCGTGGTCCTCGAGACCAACTGGAAAGATCCAGGACTGCAGGTCCGGCCGATGATGGAGAAAGTACCTATAGAGAGAACCTCTCCCGTTGAAAAAAAAAAAAAAGCCTCAAAACAGTTTATCACCCCTGTAAAGAAGGCACAGCTGATGATGACGAATGTACCACTATACCTGCTTTGCCAAGTTAAGACAAAAGTTTGTTTTACCATGGTTTCATGTTATGGCTCTCGTCAGTAAAGGATCGGCAGCATCGCTTCGATTTCACCCTATGCCTTAGTATGCATGTTGGCTTTTGTCTGAATGTCCCAAAACTGGTGTTGTAGTTCGTTCTTTATCACCCACCCGTGTGTTTTGGTATAGGGGTGTTAATACTAAATATATTGTTTTGATGCATTATTTTCTTCCAGCGGGAAAGGTGTTCTCTATGCGTATAGTAATTAATACTAGCTGTTTAAGGCAAAAGTTGTAGTTGTATGATTACGTAACACGTGTACTTGAACATGCTGTATTAGAGATAACACCTGTTGTGATAGCCTAGGGAGGCTTTTTTTTTTTTTTTTTGGGTTTGGGTTTTTTTTTTTTTTTTTTTTGGTTCTTGCCACTCAAGTCATTGTTTTTTTCAATTGGTTAACCAGCCAACATTCCTGAAGCCGGCATCTGACCCAGCATCCATCAACTCTTTGTTCTGTTTGCCAGCAATATTCCAACTCCAGCAGGAAGTGCAAGTAACGGTGCTCTATGGCACACTTGTAAGTTAAAAAGTCCAACTGTTTTCTACATCTGTAAGACATGTGGTGCACTTACAGTAAAAGCAGACTCTTAACTACTACGCATTTCCATCATCACGAGGGGGGTCGGTGGAAGAATGGTCTAAACCGTTGGTTTTCGACCACTACGACCCGGGATCGAAATGCATTGGGCACTTTTTTTCTGATTAAAATAATATGCTCCAATGGTTCCCGAATCTTACAAAAGTCCAACCCCACCAGCGAGTGTAAGTAATCAAACGGGGCTCTGGCTCACTTGTAAGTGCAAAAATCGAACTGCTTTTCACATGTGTAGACATGTGGTGCACTTACAGTAAAAGCAGTCACCAACTTCTACCCACCATGATTATCATGGCCTGTACCACCTGTACTAGGGATAATAATAATCTTAAAAAAACGAGATCATGGAGGTCTCCTATTTATAAAGTGATTTATTTTGTGGAAGATTATTTTCACTGGAGGTCCCGAATTTAGATTGGTGTTTTCTAGTAGGGAAATATTTGCTCTTGGAGGTGGTTCCTATTTTGGATGGACCTCACTTTGACAAATGGAAACAATTTTAGGTTTCCCTTTTGCGTACTGTTTGCCTGGAGTACCAGGATTGCTAACATGAAGAAAGGGGGACGAATTCCTATCAAAGGAACTAAATGCTACCCAAGACATTAATATTGTCGCGGAGATAAATAAAGCAAGGGCAAATTTGGGGATAATTAATTTATTATAAATGGTATTTTCCTTCTAGTTCTCCAATAAAATTATTTACAAGAGGTATTTATAGGGAGAGAGAGAGTCAGATGATAAAAGCAACTTATCCCCAGGTAAAGATAATAATAATGAGCGGCGTCAGCCACTGAAGCGTCCCGTTTTCCTTATTTGCAGATCAGCTTCCGAGAACC